AAATAAAAATTTTAATTTAATAACTTATTTTAAAAATGTCCTCCATCAAGTGTATATTGGAAAGAGCAGTGCTAGGGGCACTCGCCTGTTGCACTCCCCGGCCACAGTTTCACTCTTATTGGGCCACGTTATTTTCGTTGGAAAGAGGTTGCGGTTCCAAGCGTAAAACAGGCTTACGTGGCCCAATGAAAGGAGAAGTGTCGGCCGGAGAGCGCAAGAGGCGAGTGCCCCTAGCACTTCTCTATTGGAAAACACTTCCTTTAGATATATAATACCATTAGGATTGAGACGCTTAAAATGAATTGGAAATTTGTCCAAAAAAAAAAAAGAATTGGAAATAATAGTATTTTGAAAGGAGGGATTTTTTTTTTTTTGGCTCAGCCTCCTAGAGAGTATTCGGTGGAAGAAATCTGTCGTGCACATTAAAAGTGGTAATTTACCTCGATTCTCGCAGAATTTTGTTGGAATCCCGTCATGGAGATGGGACAAAAAAGAATTTTTTTTTTACGAGATAGGGTACATTTTCTTTGTATAAAATTTCACAGAAAATATTTTTCGTCCCATGGGACCTCGTGGGATCCCATCCCATAAAAAATAAAAAAAAATTATAAATTAATCTTATTTTAAATTTAATTTAATTTTTAAATTTAAATCCAATTTAATAAAGATTAAATTTAACTTAATTTTATCCAAATCGAGCCATCCCAATCCAACCCATCATCAAGTATTTAATCATAACCTTACTCATTTCTCATCACTCTCACCTTCCATCCTCCCTTCCTCTTTTGCCGTCGGCACTCTTGAAGATCTCATACCCTAAATCCCTCTATTGCTGCTGCTCTTCTGCCTTTCTCACCCTTCTGCCCTCACTTTCACCTTAAATCTCAAACCCTCACTTTCACTTTTCAAGATTCAAGAATCTCAGACCCTAAATCTCAAACCCTCCACTGCTGCCTACTAGTTTGCTACTGGAGCTGTTGTCGGAGCCACACTGCTGCTAGATTGGACTGCTATATACTGCTGCTGGGTGCTGCTAGTGCTGCTGCTAGACACTGTTGTTGGGTGCTGCTGCTATTGCACGCTACTGCTGAGTGCTGCTGTTGCACGCCGCTGCTGGGTGCTGCTGCTGCACACTGCTGTTGGCTGCTGCCGAATCCATCTGATTAGTTAATTTAACTATTTATGTTGAATTAATTTTTATTTATATTTGAAAGATTTATATTTGA